ATGGACTTCAACTCCCAGAATCCCCCAGCCATCATCCTTTAAGATGGATGGACTTCAACTCCCAGAATCCTCCAGCCATCATCCTTTAAGATGGGTGGACTTCGAGTCCCAGAATCCCCCAGCCATCATCTTTTAAGATGGATGGACTTCAACTCCCAGAATCCCCCAGTCTGCCTACTTTTTTTTTCCTTCCTTAGAAAAAAAATCCTCACCTCATCCACAGTCTTGTAGCAGGGCGGATTGGAGTTAGTATCATACTCCATTTCGGAAGGGATCGACTGTGGAGAGAACAAGGATCTGGGATCAACAGCCAAGCAGGGACCTTTGGCTTCCCTGGCCCGTTTCACACGGGATCACTCAATCCACCACCCCCACCCCACCCCACGGGTCCACTCACATGTCGGGATATGAAGCAAGACATCGGTCCGATCTCGGTGAAGAGGCCAACCTGGGTTGGAAAACCAGAAATTAACACACAAACTCCCCAAGGAGGTTTTGGAAACATCCCTTCACAGTTTCGACAGGTGCATCGGGACTCACCTTGTTCACCTGAGTCACAATGGCATCCACCACCTCCCCCTTGAAGGGACGGAAGACGATCGCTTTGTATTTGACGGGGTAAAGGACAAAGCCACGTCCCGGCTGAATTACACCCGCCCCGATGTTGTCGATGGTGGTTACGGCGATGACGAAGCCATACCTGGAAGCGAGAGGTGAGAATACTTGCATTAAAGTGAATTCCCTCTTTTTTTTTTTTTAATTTCCCCCCAGGAATTATTGGCTGCTTTCCTTTTTTCCCCCCTGAGATTTTCAGATAGGGGAAACCAGGCGGCTGGGAGTTCTAGTCCCACCTCAGGCATGAAAGCCGGATGGGTGATTTCGAGCCAATCACCAGGAGATTGGGAGTTCTAGTCCCGCCTCAGGCATGAAAGCCAGATGGGTGATTTTGAGCCAATCACCAGGAGATTGGGAGTTCTAGTCCCATTTTAAGCATGAAAGCTGATTGGGTGACTTTGGGCCAATCACCAGGAGACTGGGAGTTCTAGTCCCGCCTCAGGCATGAATAATGGCTGCGCCAATCCATCTTTCTCAGCCCAACCCACCTCACAGGGTTGTTGTTGTGGGAAAAATAGGAGGAGAAAGGAGTGTTAAATACGTTTGACGCCTTGAGTTACTGATAAAGTAATAAAGGGAAACCCTTAATAAATACCAGATATACCAATAACTTCTTGAAAAGCAATTAAGAAAACACACTGTTTTACGGATAAGCTGTTTTTTGTTTTTTTTCCCCCCATTATTTTAAGGCCGCCCAGCTTCCCTGAAATTGGACCCCTGGTTCTTCTTTCTTACTTGCCGGTACAGGTCCCTTCCACCTCGGTGAAAAGCTTCTGCTTCACGGTGTTGAGAAGGTTGGGCCCAAAGTAACGAGGGTGCAAGAGGATTTCATGCTCCAAGGAGATCTAAACGCCAACGATCCACAGAGAGAAAGCCACTGTAGCCATGACGCACAGCTCAGCTCCCATGTTTACACCCCCAATTTCTCCTCCCAACTCAAGCCAGCCTACAAGAGACATGGCACCCTCTGACATTCCCTTACGACAACCCGGCGGGGTAGGCAGGTGGAGAACATGAATATTTTACTCTTCCTTCATTTTATTGGTCCTTCTCTTTCTATTCGCAAGTCTTTGTATTTCGTGATTTTTTCTTCTTCTTCTCACTACTTTTTCTGTCTTAAATTATTCTTAAATTCCAACGTAACAGCAAACCCTAACCTGTTTATTTCCTACAGTGGCAAACAGGTACATCACACAACGAATAGAATAGAATAG